CAGGGTATTATAGCTTTGTGCAGTCCCAAGAGTTTGTAACGCCGCGAAATATTGGTCGTAGACCCATCTTTAAGTACACGATCGTTATACCTCGACAAGCTGAGTCCATCTACATATGTTTGTCCCCCCGTCCGTCTGTCCATTTTAATTGCTAAACACGATACAGGCCACAGTTATGAACCAATCTTCACGAAATTTTGCATGTAGGTCCGGTTCTGGCCAATGAAGAACCCTATTGTTTTTGGTAAAAATCGTTTAATATTTATGTGATGAAATGGACCAACAACTTTATTTTTGGCTGTTTTTCTAGACGTCCTAGAGGAGGCCACAATTATGACTCTAATCTGGCGAAATTTTATATGGAGAAGGAAATCGGGCCAAAGAATAAGCATGCCTGTTTTGATAAAGATCTGTCAATATTTATCGTATCAAATGGTGGACCCTTACTTTTGTGTGAAAAATGACAAAACTTGTATTTTATGGCGTATAAATTTATTCCTGCAGGACATACGCCCGAGAAGTTGGTAGTATATTCAAGAAGAGTGGTTAACCTTTAACCCTTTGAGCGCCGAATTTTTCTCCGCAATCTTAGAACAAATTTCTGTTTCCAGATTTAATGCAACTATCCTAAATAGGATATGCACAAAATTTGACACCGTTAAATCCTTGCATTCGGGAGATACAGTACATTCTTTCGGAAAAATTAATGTCCAATATCAAGAAAACCAATTGCAATATCGACAGAAAAATAATTGTAAAATAATTCTCTATATTCATTTTTACAAGAATCAAAAATAATTCTGGCTGCAGATTTTGTACAATTTGAATTACAAGCGATTTAAATGATTTGGACTGTATACACAAATTAGTACTGTACACAATTTTACGCTTTTCTCTATATTGAAAAGCTCATAACTTTAGCAAAATTTAGAATTTATTTGATTTTTCTTTTGATATGTGCCGTCCTTAATCGGGACTTGGCATATGAAATCAAAATAATAATTAACTACTAACTGCATATTAAATATAAGCTCTAAAAAATTTTAGAATGAAGTGGACTGAAAATTAAATTTTTTGTGTTTTTTAGGGTCGATCTGAAGGCAGCAATTATGAGCCGAACGCAATCCACGATGAAGGGAATCTGACCAAGTAATTAGAAGAGCTGTACTGAATATTAGTAATATTCGGAAAATATGTCAGTGTAAGGAAGAGGTGCTGTTGACCTCTTATCGAGCAAGAGGGTGCAAATATCACGAAATATTGCCCAGGCTCGGAATAAACATCCGCAGATAGTTAGAGTTCAGTGGTAGTTGTGTTGGGCATCGCAACGGCCCCGTCCGACTATACTGCTCCGCTGACTGGTTTTTTATTGTGATAATTTTTTATAGTTTGTTATAATTTTTATTTTTTTTTAATTTCAATAATTTTATAAATTGTATACCCTCCGCCATAGTATGGAGTTTATATTAATTTTGTCATTCCGTTTGTAACTCATCGAAATATTCATTTCCGACCCTATAAAGTATATATATTCTTGATCAGGGTAAAATTCTAAGACGATCTAGCCATGTCCGTCCGTCCGTCCGTTTGTATCGGTCCACGTTTAGGCATAGCCCCCATATAAGGGTACCGGCTAATTTTCGACATTTTGGGGTTCTTGACCACGCTTTTCAACCGAATTCCCAGAAATTTGGTACATTGTGTTCCTTTTGGGTACCAAATGTCTACACTAAAAATTATAAATATCGGTTCCCTATTTGTGGTAGCCCCCATATAATGTTACCGCCAATTTACAGTATTTTGGGGGTTTTACGCGCGTTTTTCGACCGAATTGGCTGTAATTTAATATATTGAGCTCTTATTGGCTTTCCACAAAATATTATAAATATAGGTTCATTTTTTCGGGTAGCTCCCATAATTGGGTACCCCCCATTTTTTGTATTTTGGGGTTCTTGAGCGATTTTTTCAACCAAATGCGCTGAAATTTGGTATATTGTGTTCTTATTGGGTACCAAATCTCTCCACAAAAAAAATATAAATATAGGTCCACCGTTTCTGTTTTTTGGGGTATTTGAGCGCGTTTTTCAACCGAATTGTCTGCAATTTGGTATTTTGTATTCGTATTTGGTAACAAATTCGCCCCCTTTTGGTAGTAGTCCCCATTTAACCCCCTTTTTATATTAAAATAGTTAACTGATTTGTTCCGGGTTTTGGGGTAGTCTCAATATACCTGTATTCCACCATAGTATGGGGGATATTCTATTCTAGTATGGAACTCTAAGACGTTGTAGCCGATTGAGCCATCTTTTATTATCATTCTTCCTTTAGAGGATATCGCGATAAGAAACTATAAAGTCATGTTCGAGAATGAAATATATCGAACCGCATTTAGGCATATCCCTTATATAAAACCACCTACCGATTTAATAGGAAGAAAGATATTGAGATACAAAACTATACCCGTAAGGAAAGTAGTAAAGTCGGACGGTGTTGACTATATGATACCCTTCACCACTATGGGTATATTAAACAGATACATCCTAACAGACGTCGTATTTCTGAAGCACCATTAACATTAAATTGGATGGACTAAACTATGTGATCTTTATATAAATGTGAACCGACAAAGATCAACCCATAAGCATATCATTCCTCTTTTACAATAACACAAAATTATGTAAATCGATTTCAAGTAAATACCAATCGGACATCCGTTGGAATATGTCTATACTTCTACAAAAAGCTACTACGTCATTCTACGATCAATGTTGTGCAGACTTTGGTGCACTATTTACTTAAAATCGGACAAAGCTATATATGGAAGCTATATTTAAGTTTGAACCGATTTTTCCAATTTTCAATTGGTTTCGCCCTAAGGCCAAATAAATGAACTGTGAACTGCGATCTGCGATCTGTACTTTGTTTACAATTTAACATGTACAGACAGACGGACATAAATCGACTCAGTATATGCATATATATTATCAAGAGGAACCATGTGTCTCGTGTATCATGTATCTCGTTTTCTTTTGCCTGCAACAAACATATGCACAAAAACATAATACCATGTTCCACAGTGTGGTGAAGGGTATAAATATTAGCTTCGAAATTGATCTATATCGGTCCTTAATTAGTCAAAACCCTTCATATTGTAATAAAAACGACAAATATTCGCTAATTCCTACACAATGCTGTCAATATTAATACCCCTTCATATAACTTTGCCCTCTAAATTGGTTTATTTTGAGAATTGTATACACATGTTTCACCCTACCATGCGTTCATAATATATGTCCACATTTTTGGGTTTTGAGTTTTTAGGAAAAACCCCCCCTTAAAGTTGCTGACATTTGGGTATGGCCTACATTATGTGCAACAATCGAGTGGTAGAATTGTCGTTATAGATCTACTTTTTAGTATGTTTCCCTATATTTTCATTTCACGTAACTGTCAGTATTCCTATGGTGGAGGGTATCCAAAGTTCGGCCCCGCCGAACTTAACGCTTTTTTTCATTTGTTAAAACTTCTTTTTATTATTAATTAATATACAAAAAAAATCCTCAGAAATAGTAATAAATATTAAAAAAAATAATAATTAATATTAAAAACAAAATATTTTTTTAATGATATTTTTATAATTTAATTTTCAATATCTTCATTTATTTTATAACTATTTGCTAGATGATAATTTGAAAAAAAAATATTGATTGTAAGCAAGGAGCAGTTTGAGTGTATATTTAGAAAATGAATTTCATTATTTTTGTTTGATTTTTTAAATATAAAAATTTAGACATGATACATTTGATTTTACAGTACACACACACACATATACAATAGAATAAAATTTGCCAATTAAAAGTCAATGTAATCAAAATAAAAAATTTATATAAACAGAATTATATAAAAATATTCATTGAAGTGTATAAAATAAATTTTTTTGAAAATAATAGAAATTTGAGATAATTGATTTTTTGTTGAGGAAGAAAATAAACGTAGATTTATGTTATATGACAATGTATAAACAGACACACACGCACATACGAACATAGTAATCACAACTGACATACGTTTCGATGCGATAAAAATGTAAAAAAATATATAGAGTGGAACAAAATAGACGACGATAGAAGGTTGTAAATAAATAATTTTGAAAATAAAAAAATTCCCACACAGGATGTGAGATATGGAAATTGTATTTCCTCGGATATTTGGAATCGATTACAAGAAATTTAAGAAAAGTCCATATTTTTATGGGCTCGCCAATATATTTTTTAGGAAAAATGTGCAGAAAAGAAACTTTCTGAATCAACAGGCTCGTAATTTTATACCCAACATCAAAGAAAATCGGGCCTCAATATCATGATAGGGCATAGAAATAAGCTTCTTTAAGGTAGACCATTTTTAGGGGAATTTATAGATTGGACAATATGTCAGGATATGGACCTATATGAAATCCTTCACAAAATTAAAAAAAAAAATATCCAAAATTGAGTCTGGTACAGATATTCAGACTTTAAATCATAATTTCAAATAACCACCAATGGGTTCTTAATTTGCATATTTTTTAATCTCTATAAGCCAATATTAATATTTTGAATATTAATTTTTAAAGAAAAAAAATCATTTTGAAAAATATTTACAAATTAGAAAAGATTTTTATTTGGCGAAAATGTTATAGAAAAAAATAATGGAAGTATGTATGTACAGACAGAGTAGAGAGAAACAAAACGACACAAGAGATTATATCCACAAAATATATGTATGTGGAATGGAGCATAGAGAGCGAAGACAGGAAATAGAAGACAGAAAAATACACACACACAAATATATAAATTTATATACAAAAGAAAAAAGGACGAAAACACACACACACACATATATTGAAAGAAATTTTGGATTACATCCACTCCGACGCCACACACACAAAACATTGAGAAAAAAAAGAAAAATTAATTTTTTTTCTTTTTGAGTTTTGCATTTCATTTTTTTTTGTTACATACCAAAGAATTTGTTCAAAAATACAAATGCATCCTTTTTAGATTTATTATCTGTAGGGGGTAGGTAAAAAAATAAGAGGGAATTTGTTTTTTGGTTTGATTGATTGTTTGATTATTTAAACACAGGGTATCAAATTAAAAATAATAATAAAAATAAAAAATAATCTGTTATATATTATTTTGTTGGTTATAGCTAATAATGCTTATATTATATAGGCATGAAAGATGAGTGGGTGGTTGGATAGGAATATTAATTTGAACTGAAAATCATGGGGATGAGCAGATTTTTAAATAAAGGTGGAACTTTTTGAAGATTTTTTAAAGAATAATTTGAAAAATTCCTATAGAAATTCTAATTCAGCCGGGCTGAATTGAAAATTTCCTATAGAAATTCTAATTCAGCCGGGCTGAATTGAAAATTTCCTATAGAAACTCTAATTCAGCCGGGCTGAATTGAAAATTTCCTATAGAAATTCTAATTCAGCCGGGCTGAATTGAAAATTTCCTATAGAAATTCTAATTCAGCCAGGCTGAATTGAAAATTTCCTATAGAAATTCTAATTCAGCCAGGCTGAATTGAAAATTTCCTATAGAAATTACAATTCAGCCGGGCTGAATTGAAAATTTCCTATAGAAATTCCAATTCAGCCGGGCTGAATTGAACATTTCCTATAGAAATTCCAATTCAGCCAGGTTGAATTGAAAATTTCCTATAGAAATTATCATTCAGCAAGGCTGAATTGAAAATTTTCTATAGAAATTCTAATTCAGCCAGGCTGAATTGAAAATTTCCTATAGAAATTCTAATTCAGCCGGGCTGAATTGAAAATTTCCTATAGAAATTACCATTCAGCCAGGCTGAATTGAAAATTTCCTATAGAAATTACCATTCAGCCAGGCTGAATTGAAAATTTTCTATAGAAATTAACATTCAGCCGGGGCTGAATTGAAAATTTCCTATAGAAATGATCATTCAGCCAGACTGAATTGAAAATTTCCTATAGAAATACTAATTCAGCCAGACTGAATTGAAAATTTCGTATAAAAATTATCATTCAGTCAGGCTGAATTGAAAATTTCCTATAGAAATGATCATTCAGCCAGACTGAATTGAAAATTTCCTATAGAAATTATCATTCAGCCAGACTAAATTGAAAATTTCCTATAGAAATCCTAATTCAGCCGGGCTGAATTTAAAATTTGCTATAGAAATTCTAATTCAGCCGGGCTGAATTGAAAATTTCCTATAGAAATTACCATTCAGCCAGGCTGAATTGAAAATTTTCTATAGAAATTAACATTCAGCCGGGGCTGAATTGAAAATTTCCTATAGAAATTACCATTCAGCCAGAGCTGAATTGAAGATTTTTTCTAGAAATCACAATTCAGCCAATATTGGTTTACAATATATCCAAAAAAGTTCCACCTGTATATTTTGATAAAAAAATGATTATTGTTTTGAGGGACATGAATTATGAAGTATTCTATGACAAGCATGGGGTGGTGGTGGTGGGTTGGGTTGGTCCATAGATGTGGTTGTGCCAAATAATAAATAACAATAACAATCAATTTCAATAATCTAAAGGGTGAACTAATCAAGAACACATTTAAAACCAAAATTATTTATTATTGTTGTTGTTGTTGGTATATTTCTGATTAACACTTATTATATTATGTATGTATGCATGTACGAAGGCAAACAAGGAATGCATTTGGGTGATGAGGCTGGGAGGGTGTGTGCGGCGGCATCCGCATAACATACGGCTCTCTCTAAGCCATACAGAACATGCTTCGTTTAAAAATGTTTATCTACAGAGATTTATTGCTGCATTCCTCAAAATGACATTTTTGCTCTTTTCGTTTTCGTAAATTCGAAAGTATGAGCCTTGGGTGGGGGTAAGGGGAAGGTGATAATGGGGCTAGCAAAACGCTTTTAGCTATATTTATTTATGTATTAAATATTGTGTATGGTATTAAATTATAATTGAATGCATAATGGCAGATTGGAAGGTAGGATGACGATGATCAAATGAACTCTTCATATGTATGACCAGGTTGATAAGTGTGTGTGTGGTGGTGGTGAAGGTCTATATGTATGTATGAAATACGGGATTTCACAGGGTGGATGATGTGGACGGACACAAAATAGGCTAAAAGGGCAAATATAAGGAACGTGCTTCGGAGCATTATTATTGAGCAGCCTACTTAGTTAATGCTTACTGCAATGCTTTTACGAATATTGACGAACTACGCCTACTTAATACGAGAATTATTTACTTCTTGGAACTTACTATAAACTACAGTAACATGAAAAAACATTATTCTACTTGTGTTGCTGCCTCTAAACAAAATTAGTTACACGATCTAAACAAATCTACACCATTTTCAAAAGGGAGGAATGGAAGAAAACTTCGAATTTCTTATAGAGTTTCATATTCAGCCAAGCTGAATAGAAAATTTCTTAGAGAAATTAATATTCAGCCAAGCTGAATAGAAACTTTCTTAGAGAAATTAATATTCAGCCAAGCTGAATTGAAAATTTCCAGAAGAAATTAAAACTCAGCCATGCTGAATGATAATTTCTATAGGAAATTTTCAATTCAGCCTGGCTGAATGATAATTTCTATAGGAAATTTTCAATTCAGCATGGCTGAGTTTTAATTTCCATAGGCAATTTTCAATTCAGCCTGGCTGAATGATAATTTCCAAAGGAAATTTTCAATTCAGCCTGGCTGAATGCTAATTTCCATAGGAAATTTTCAATTCAGCCTGGCTGAATGCTAATTTCCATAGGAAATTATCTATTCAGCCTGGCTGAATAATAATTTCCATAGAAAATTTTCAATTCAGCCTGGCTGAATGATAATTTCTATAGGAAATTTTCAATTCAGCCTGGCTGAATGATAATTTCTATAGGAAATTTTCAATTCAGCCTGGCTGAATGATAATTTCTATAGGAAATTTTCAATTCAGCCTGGCTGAATGATAATTTCTATAGGAAATTTTCAATTCAGCCTGGCTGAATGATAATTTCTATAGGAAATTTTCAATTCAGCCTGGCTGAATGATAATTTCTATAGGAAATTTTCAATTCAGCCTGGCTGAATGATAATTTCTATAGGAAATTTTCAATTCAGCCTGGCTGAATGATAATTTCTATAGGAAATTTTCAATTCAGCCTGGCTGAATGATAATTTCTATAGGCAATTTTCAATTCAGCCTGGCTGAATGATAATTTCTATAGGAAATTTTCAATTCAGCCTGGCTGAATGATAATTTCTATAGGAAATTTTCAATTCAGCCTGGTTGAATGATAATTTTTATAGGAAATTTTCAATTCAGCCTGGCTGAATGATAATTTCTATAGGAAATTTTCAATTCAGCCTGGCTGAATGATAATTTCTATAGGAAATTTTCAATTCAGCCTGGCTGAATGATAATTTCTATAGGAAATTTTCAATTCAGCCTGGCTGAATGATAATTTCTATAGGAAATTTTCAATTCAGCCTGGCTGAATGATAATTTCTATAAGAAATTTTCAATTCAGCCTGGCTGAATGATAATTTCTATAAGAAATTTTCAATTCAGCCTGGCTGAATGATCATTTCTATAGGAAATTTTCAATTCAACCTGGCTGAATAGTAATTTCTTTAGGAAATTTTCAATTCAGCCTGGCTGAATTGTAATTTTATTTGGGAAATTTGAACGCAGCCCCATTAAATGTGAAATTGGTGCAGATTTCTAAAATTAGAGTTGATTTTCTACTAAAGAAAGAATGGTAGTTTAGGGGTGGGATACAGTTGAGGGGGTTTGGTTTAAATACAAATGGAAATAAATATAAAATCAAATAACGTACGCACACATACACACATAATCACATCGATCGATAATTGTTTACATGTTAAATTAAAAAAAAAAAACTATACACGAAAATAATTACATTGATTTTGGACTGGACTAATATTAATGTTGTTGTTGTTATGGTGAACGTGTATTGAACATGTATTTGTATTTTTGTCTAGGATTATAATTAACTACCATGTTTTTGTTGTTGTTATTTTTTATTGTAAAATCAAGTCATTCAAATCTATAAACTACTGGAATCTTATTGATAGGTTAAAAACAAATTGTTGTTGTTGTCTAAAAACAAAGGTAGATGTGGAACTTTGGTGGAATGTGTGATTTCGGTTTGAATTAGAAACAAATCTAAACTAAATTTGAAAAAAAAAAATTAAAAAAAAAACAACAAAAATTTTAAAATAATAAAAACAATAAAATTTGTCACAATTTGAAAACAAAAAATTGTAATTTACAATTTAAAAAAAATTAAGAACAATTTGCCTACAAACTAAAGCCAATGCAAAAAAGAAAAATAAAAAAATATATATAACAAAAGCTAATAATTAATTACATAAAAAAAAATAATTAAAAAAATCATAATTGTTTTTGTTAACACAAATTCCATTTAGTTGCACTTTTTTGTACACAATTTTGTTTTCGTTTTTTTCTTCTTCTTCATAATTTTAATTTTAATATTGAAATTACTTTTGACTTGATTTGTTTGTTTGTTAAAAAAAAGTGTTTTGATATTCTCATTTTCATCAATTCTATCCTTTGAAATTTCCGTTTATTGTTTTGAAATATTTTAAGTGTTGAGTGATTGTGTTTCTGAGAAAAATGTTGAGTATCGTTGTGGTTTTTTTTCATAACATAAAGTCGCGAAGGAAAACTGGCTACAAAACGATGGTTTGAGATTTTGACAAAATTTGCTAAAGTAAAAAAAAATGGGGTGGCGTAGGGGATGTTAGATACCAAGCAACGGCTCTGATTGGCTTTAACATGGCGAAGTCCAGGCTTATCTTGGTCCCTCTTTCATCTCAATTGTGAACACTGACCTCCCCGCGGTACCACCTGGGGAGCAATTCTCATCACCCGATGAAATAGTGAGCTAATATGTGCCGCGAGTTCACCCATAAGAACTATAAAAAAATGGGTTGAGGCGTCGGGTTAGTTGCCCACACTCGGAACACCCCTCCTACTATGAAAAAGGT